AAATAAGTAAGCAATTAAACATATAAGTAAGTATGTAAGTAAGTAAATAAGTAGGTAAGCAAGTAAGCAAAAAGGAAATAACTTGCTTGCTTACTAGCTTACTTTCTTATTTGCATACTTACTTGCTTATTTCTTTCTTGCTTACTTGCTTACCTACTTATTTGCTTACTTCCTAATTTCCTTCTTGCTTACTTGCTTGTTTTCTTTCTGCTTACTTACTTCCTTATATGCTTACTTGCTTACTTTCTTATTTCCTTCTTGCTTACTTTGCTTACTTGCTTATTTCCTCCTTTCTTACTTTGCTTACTTGCTTATTTCCTTCTTGATTACTTACTTTCTTATTTGCTTACTTTCTTACTTGCTTATTTCCTTCTTGCTTACTTTATTCCTTATTTGCTTACTTGCTTATTTCCTTTTCGCTTTTTAATACCTCACAATTATTATTTAATATTTCAGAAAGATTAATTTTCTAATTATTAATTTAATAATTTCCAACTTGCACTTTTAATATGTATATTTTTAATTTTAAACACAAAAATTTGAGAATAATCTTTCTCACAAGCGGTGAAATAAAATTGAGATTAATATATAAGGACAGTTGAAACTTTCTGAAGCAATAATGTAAAGCGTGCGATGTATGTATTAGTGTATGCGTTTAGAATGTACTGTAGGCAGGTGTATCAATTAGTATTTGTTCGTAAACAATTGTAGGGGGTTTAGGTAGTGATTGAAGTAGGTAAATTGAGAGTTACGGCAGTATTAATATAGATCTACTGAAGTAACATTATTTTTTATTTTTGTTCTTCAAGTTTTACCGAACTTTCAGTAAATTGCAACTCGTCAGTTTTACCGAAGACTTTATCTTACGTTTTACCGAACTATTCAATAAATTGCAACTCGTCAGTTTTACCGAAGACTTTATCTTACGTTTTACCGAACTATTCAATAAATATGAATGTAGCGAGCACTTGGCTTACGTTTTACCGAACTGTAACTGAAGCGCTAATACATGTATCGTGAGCTTTATGATTTTTACATTATTTTTCAATGCAATTTCTTTTACAGTCTAGTTCTTGAAAAATTACTGTTTTGACACTTCATCCCAGTTTTACCGAACTAAATTCAGTAAAATTTCAGGAATACATTTTCTCCGTGAGGGTAAAAAAATGTTTACAGAAAAGAAATAAAAAAAGTTTAAAATTGATACTTTTAGAAAGAACCGTTTTAAGTCGAGACAAAATACGAAATCGTTTTATATAATTATACTCACTTCTACAATTCATATTATTAATTTTTGGACTCATCCAAGTCATATGATGATAGTCTCCAGGAGGGACGTCAAGCGCAGACAGACGACAATTTTCTGTAGATTCGTCTTTAAAAACAACTGGCAGCTGATGGGTCATACGTGCTCCGCCCATCAATATGCGCATACCTTAAGGATCCTTAGCGTTTCGAGCAATTGAATATTTATCTTCCGACACTGTGTATCTTGTCTTATATGTATAGTATAATAGAGAGCCGACTTATCCGAAACGTGCGCCGCTCGACGATCGGTTATTTTGATAACCCTGCTCGCGGTTCGCTGCGACGTTGACGAAATCGCTGATCAATGCTACTTAATGGATCTTTATATACGACTACCTAATGATAAGCATACCCACGATGAGAGCAAAGTTAACGACTCAATTTAATCAGAGAGTTCCTGTTGTAATTTCTCTTTCATTTCACTCTCAAGTTGGCGTCGAAACCGATTATTTTTTTTGTCGATACGCAGAAAGTTAATTTATTTTATCGCTTTGCATATAATATAGCAACATTTGAACAATATTTCTCTAAATATTAATTAAAAAATATTAAGAATTGCGCGAAATAATGAGATTTTCCTCAGGCGCCCCCAAGAAAATTGATTTGCGGTGTAAACTCTAACTCGCAATAGAATCATCTAAAACAAAAAAATCAAAGTGCATTTGTTAAAGGAGATGTTTTTTGAGGTAACGCTGGGATGAGGAATTTTTTTTTCGATTTTTTGTAGCACTTGAAAGCCAAAAAGTCGATTTTCGCTAGAAAAAAATCGATTAATTTGTTATTGTAAAATTGGTAATTTAAAAAAAAACTCCCAGCGTTACCTCAAAAAACATCTCCTTTGACAAATGCAGTTTGATTTTTAGGTTTTTTTAGGTGTAGAAAGGCATTCAATTTTAAATATATAGGTATTTATGGAAAATGTGATGCTCAGGAAGTCAATTTTTTATGAGTAAGTGAAATAAAGGAAAGTAATAATTAAAATTAAATAAAGTTTTAATACAAGTTTTACATTATACGTGATTTACAAAAAAATCACACAGCACCAAAAATTTCTTGAAACTTGACAGGAAGTCACTCAGTTTATATTAGCAGACGAAAATTTAATAATTGGGCGAATATTGCATGCAACATTGATACAATATTGCCTGAACATGTCAAGTTATTATTCACAGTAAAATTTTTGCTCAAGTTTGATATTCAATATTTCCTTATTATACGGACATTTAAATAACTTTACATTCTCCATGACTTTCACCACGCAATATTTATAAGCTGGGCGAGATCCTGTCTAGTTTAGAGAAATTCTCGGTGCTATGTGGAATTTTATTTGCACTTTGGTATTTGCACCCGATTATATGCACGTGGACAGTCGCAGTTGACGCCATTTATCACCAGTTACAAAGTCAAGCACATTACAACTGTCAATGAACAGAGCCATTTTCTTTTCTTTTTTCATCCTTTTCTCAAGTAACTTGGATTTTGATTGGTCAATTTTTGTTTTGTCACCAGCAAGCATTTGATTTACAAGGAATTAAAAGGCATTAGATAGATCACAAATTTATTCCACTTTAAGTGATTAAAAAGTATTCATTCTAATATTGTAAACTTTGGGCATTGAAAAGGATTCGTTTTATAGTAGAATTTGACTAAATAGAAGTATTAAATTTAGCGGACTAAAAAGGAATTCAGAAGTATTTAAAATTTTCGTCTTTTTATTGATGATGAAATAATTTTTAATACCTTTTTATTCAAGCCTTCTTACGGGGTCTGTCTGCTAGGCTCGTGACATTTATAGGTTATGGTTACTATTATTTTCTAGTCACATGGTGTTTAGTCTGTTTAGTGCATTTGTTGTTTAATGTCATAATAGTTGTTATTAATTATTGAAGTGAAATGATGAAGGTGAGTAAATAGAACTCATACATATATTACACATATTGAATATACATTGACAACACGTGCAACCTAACCTATACATACACTCTCGCTATGACTAATACTACAACGCAACTGTATACATTACGCATATCAACGAACTTCGCTAAAAGCATACCTCTCAATTTCTTTATATATGAACTATCGAAATTTTACACCACTTGTGGAAAGCGATTTACCTCAAATATCTTTATAACCAAAATCTCCTGAGATATGAATACCTACATAAATAGTATAACTTCATATGGGTCAATTGTCAAGAGGTGTCCAAGTAATATACATAAATGGAATCAAATGAAATACAAAAAACAAATACAAAAAACAATACTGTCAAAAACTTTTGACAGCTCGCGCGAAGCACGAAGGTTATACACGGAAAAAAATTTTTACTGTGGGGAACAGCTAATATAGAGAAAATGAATTTCGCTGGTGATCCATATTGGAAATATTTGACAGTTTACCATTCTCATAGAAATTTTTCTAAAATCACAAATGTCAAATTTACATTTCTTACCTCTGAATACGTATTAATTTACTAATTTTACATTTTATTAGTTATAATATAAAAAATATAATTAATAGAATTTGAATATACGCTTTGAACATTAATTTAAAAATGTTTTCATTCAAGTGTTATTTTGAGGTTATGTTGTTTTCAAAAGGTAACGCAAGAAATATCATTTTCGCTAGATCGGCGAAAATGGATTATCAATGGAGCCAAATCAGTGAAACTTATATAGCTATTATAGTAATTTTTATCTATACTTTAGTAGAACTTTTTTTAGCGTGTACAAGGCAACTTCGGTTCAACTCGGAAGTGATCGGGAAAGTCCGCCATACTTTTCGTATAAAGTTAACGAATATTCCAAAGAAAAAAATACAACTCTTAGTCATTTCTATAAAAGAAGATGAAAATAACTGTAGTAATTTTTGGCATTCTGTATATTTTCATATTCAAATACTCAATTTTTGAAATAAATATACTAATTTTTATTCTTTAAATATTGTACAATAATAAATTCATAATATGAGCGGATGGGAAGGAGAACTCGCCGAGCGTGCGGTTGTAAAGGATAATATCAGTCAGGTAGCAGTGAGCGCCTCTGGGCCACACACTGCTACCTGACTGATATTATCCCTTTCGGTCGAGCGCTCGGCGAGTCCTCCTTCCCATCCGCTCATATATTTTCTTAAATAATGAAATAATCATTCAAAAACTGACACATTTTCCCTAAATTGATAAATTTTATTTTAATAAATGTTCATATGAAGATATCAAATAATACTATACCCCAGTAGCACGTCCCGTGTAGAAATCACCATGCTATGCCTAAAATGATTATTGGCCCTAGCTTGGACCTAACTTGGCAACCCCTTTTTATATATCCTAGGCTGGTCCTAACTTGGTACTAACTAGGAGATCCAGTTATGACTCAGAAAAATTTTAGGAAAATAAAGTGTCAAAATTGATACATGAAAAACATGTAAAAATTGATAAATATTCTCAATTAATACCCGTGTGGAAAAATTTCAGGGCGCTGATCAAGCGCTTAATAGACTGTCTAACGTCTTTCTAGACCCAGGGCAGACGGTCTTGTCGAGCGGCTGTTCAGAATTGAAACGAAACTTCCATGCTATCGTCTAGAATAGACCAGCGTTTCTGGTCTGATCAGCAGTGCTAGTAAATTCTAATCTACGTCTATTCAAAATTTCTCATCATATGTTATGACAACTATTCTTAGAATGATAAAACTTAATTATATTTGAAATAATTTTAATGACTTTTCTTTACATAAAAAGTATAAAAAAATATTTTAACTTTCTGTATTTTTCACTTCAACTTTCTTTAAGCGTAAGACTTTGTGTCCCTCCCAATCTTTGGCATTGGAGATAGTAGTCTTTTTGTAAAATAAAATTTACTGCAAATACCCAGTGAGAAATTTCTTACCGGTCCAATATCAGTCCAATATTGGGAGCCAAGAGACCAATCATCGGTCCAATAAAGGCTCCCAATATTGGACCAATATGGGCTGATGCTTGGGATGTAACGGGTTCGCCAAGAATCGGTTGTTAATATTGGTCCAATATTGTCCGAATATTGGCAACCAAGAGAAAAAAATTTTTTTAAATAAATTTTTTTAATTAAATAATAATAATAAAAAATTAATGTTTATTATTTATAAATTATAATTATTTAAAAATGCAGCAACTATTAGGAAATAATCGAAATAGCATTCTGCAAAAAAATTCTATCATTGAAAAATCAATTATAGACGAGAGATATCCGCGTCATTAAACAGATTCGCTGATATACTCTGGTCTCGCGACGAATCTCTAGATACTTATATACACTGGAGTCGCCGTGTCAGTTGCGAGTGTGGGGATTTTGGTTTAAATATTTCAATAATATAGTTCCCCAAACTATATCAATTACTATATGCACCAATGATATAAATAACTCAACATTACATAAATCAACAAATTATTTATTTAGAACAACTGATCAAATATTATATACATCTCTATATATATTCAGATGTCTATTGCGTACCAGTCAACGCAGAACTAACTAACTACTCCGAAAATCCGTACGCACGCCTAGCTACATAGCAACGGTTGCTAAGGCTCGCGTCAGCCCATGCTTTACAAAATCTGAGGGGAAAGAAAAGTATTCCCCACATACTCCTCCCCAAATGACAATGATATATAAAAAAAAGGATAATATAAATTATAGAGAAAAAAATAACAATTGTAAATAGTTATAAAAATGTTAATAATACTGAAAGTTACGAAAATAAGGAAAAAAAAAATTTTTAATAAGTCTTTCAATAGTTACGCAGTTATCACATTTTAGCATGGCTGAAAATAATATTAAAATTACATTTATGATTAATCTATTTAATTTATGGAAAAATAATTCTCTTGTATATATAAAAAAAAATTATAATACTAAAAATATAATACTGTTCGGTTTTCTCTTATCAAAATCACGCACATACAGATCATACATTAAATTTTACTTTCTTTTTTCTGGAATATGTTTTTAAAGTTGCTGGTTTGTTAAATTCAAAATTCGAAGGATCGCTAATTACAGTCGGTGCTACATCGATGTACGAAGAAGATGCCTGGTTCTCCGTCGAGGTGCTCGAGTCCTTTTTAACAAGATTATTTACAGGATCATTATTTACATTTTTCTCCACATCTCTAACAAAATATGCAGGCTTGAGCAACTTGACGGAAACATTGCGTGACGAACCATTAACGTCAATTCTAAATACACGATCGGAAACTCGCTCAATGACTCGATGCGGACCAGAATAAGGAGGCTCCAAAGACTTTTTAATATGACCGGCTCGTAAAAATACATGAGAGCATGTATGTAGATCCTTAAATACGAATGCTCTTTTTTTATAACGATGCTCCACTGGTATGGGTTTAACCCTTGTCATTAATTCACGGAATTCCTCAAGAAAAACCTGAGGATCTGGAAAAAAATCGTCATTTACGACAAATTCGCCAGGTATGCGAATTGTAGTACCATATAAAAATTCGGCCGGAGAAGAACCGCAATCCAGAACGTTTGATCTTAGTCCGAGAAGGACTGTAGGGAGAACACGAGTCCATTCACGAGTGGAATGACACATGAGAGCGGCTTTTAAGGTTCTATGCCAGCGCTCTATCATACCATTCGAGGCAGGATGATAGGGGGTAGTGCGAACACGCTTACAGCCTATGAATTTCAAGAGACCCTGGAACAGTGATGATTCGAACTGACTCCCTTGGTCAGTGGTTATGGTTTCGGCAGATCCAAAATAGGACACCCAATTATCCATAAAAGCACGAATGACTGTAGCAGTCTCAATATTTGACATAGGTATTGCCTCGGGCCATCGCGAAAACCGGTCGGTTATTGTCAAGCAATACTTGAAACCGGAATCGACAGGAAGAGGACCGACGATGTCCATGTGAATGTGGAGAAAACGAGATTCGGGAGCGACAACATGTGATGGAATGAGACCAACATGCCTGGATATTTTCGAACGCTGACAATTAAGACAATTTTTACATAAGCGAGAAACATCTTTATGCATGTTAGGCCATACGTATCGTTTACGGATAATACGATCTGTGACCTTTGCGCCTGGATGTGCTGGAGAATGAAGCAATTGAAAAACGCGATCACGCAGAGAAGCGGGAACAAACGGACGCAAAACTTCACCAGAAAGGTCACAAAAAATAAAATCATTTTCCTTACCAAACATGATTTTTTTTAAATTTAATGATGTATTTTTGTTTTCTAGAAAATTCTTCAACTCTGGACAAGCGTTCTGAGCCTCGGCAAACTCAGCCAAGGTGATCTCTGAAGGAAAAATGACAGCATCAACCCTGGACAACGCATCGGCAACGACATTCTCGGGACCAGAGATGTACTCAATTTTGGTGGTGAACTGCGACAAAAACGATAACTGATTCAACTGTCGAGGCGAGGCTTTATCAAGTCGTTGTTTAAATGCATAAACAAGAGGTTTATGATCTGTAACGATCTTGAAATCTCGTGCCCCGAGAAAATACTTAAAGTATTTTACTGCTTCAAACATCGCAGTTAATTCGCGGTCATAGGCACTATAAAATGCAATAGGTTTCCACTCATTTTCAATCCTCTGTTCAAGAGCCGCTCCAATGCCGGTGTTAGAAGCATCGGTTATTAGGCGGGTCTCAGCATTTACAGAAGGATGAGAAAGTAATGTGGCATTAGCAAGCTCGTGTTTAACCTGCTCAAAAGCTGCCTTAGACAAAGGATCCCAAGGAATGACGTGTTTGTCATTTTTACGTGAGTCTCGAAGGAAATTATTAAGTGGAGCCTAAATTTGAGCGGCATTTTTAACATTTCGTCGATAAAAGTTAGCAAGTCCCAGGAATCGACGCAATTCGACGATCGTCTTGTGAAGCGGAAAATCGACAACCGACTTAATTTTTTCAGAAGTCGGTCGAATACCTCTACCATCCACTAAATATCCTAAAAATTCGAGTTCGGGTTTTCCGAAGAGACACTTGTCCAAATTGAGATGAAGATGAAATTTTTTTAAACGTGTAAAAACTTCATGAAGATGAGACTCATGTTCAGCAACAGAGGAAGAAGCAATGAGTATATCATCAACATAAGCATAAACATAATCAAGATGACCGAGCGCCCGAGAAATATATCGTTGGAAAGTTTAGCCTGCATTACGGAGACCATAAGTCATGACCAAGAATTCAAATAATCCAAAAGGAGTTATCACGGCCGTCTTCTGAATATCCTCAGGAGCTACGGGGATCTGGTTATAAGCCTGTTGGAGATCTAACTTGGTAAAGATGACTTTACCGTATAAACTCGATGAAAAATCATATAAATGTGGGACTGGAAAGCGATCGGGTTCCGTAACGCTATTCAAACCACGATAATCCCCACAGACCCTAACTCCTCCATCCTTTTTCTCAACAACGTGAATTGGGGATGCCCAAGAAGCACTAGAATAACGACACTTTCCCTGAGCGATCATTGAGTGAAAGTAGGCCTTAACGCGGGTCAATTTTTCAGGAACTGGGAAGGTCATGTATACCTTGCGATGGTCTGGTAATTTCTGGAAACTTTAATAGTATATTTGCGAATGGTAAAGATGTGTCAACTGAACTAATACCGTGAAATTTAACCTTTTTAATCGAACAACCGGCAGAAATATGTGTTAAAGGATCTAAAAGTTTACGCTGACGTAAATCGATGAGTAAACCAAAATGAGCAAGCAAGTCGGCTCCAATAATCGGATACGGTGTTGCTGCTAAACAAAAGTCCCACGAAATGTCGCGTCTAAGACCAAGATTTAAATGTTCTGTTCCAAATGTAGGAATTCGTGTGTTGTTTGCTGCGTAAAGGATAAGTTCAGAAGGTTCACGATTTTTCGAATATGATGATGGTAATAATAACACATCTGATCCTGAATCAATCAAGAATACTAAACCAGATTCACGGTCTCTAATATGGAGACGCTTTGATTGCATGTCCGATCCGATGGTCTCAACTCGAAACGGCTACACATTTTGATGCTAACTTTGCAAACTTTTTATGATACCAACATAGATCCGACCTGCTCTTGTCTTTAGGGCTACCTCGAGATTGACTACGGAATTTGTGGGATCGAGATCGCGATTCCGAGCGTTCGCGAGAACGACGATAATTATTTCGTGGTTCTTCCATCTTTAATTTAAGTAACTAAAGTTGAGAAGTGATTGCATTTAATTTTGCTTCAATATTACTATCAATTAAATTTGAATGGGAAATACTAGCAACGCAATTGTTTGAAGAGGTAGTCACATCGGAAATTTTGTCCGCTGTACTAGAAAGATCATCCAAAGTGTCAAAACTCAAAGAAGTTAATATGGCTTGGTGCTGGGAAGGTAACTGGTCCAGAAAAATAGCCTTAAGAATATCATCGGAACATTTACCGTTACTCAAATGACGGATGCGCGCCAAGATATGTGACGGCTTTCCTGAATTTAAAACTTCTCCCTTGAGTAATTTGCGAAGCTGAGCCTCTGTTGAGGCTGAAAACGTTGAAATGAGCCTAGTTTTAATTCTATCATAAATATCAGCTGGGGTTATCGGCAAAGACAACAAATCAGCAATGCATAATACTATGTCGGAATCCAATTCGGCAATGATAAAATCGGCACGAGATTTGTGAGCACGAATGTTGTTATTTCGAAAGACTGCTTCAACAATGTTGAACCATATAGTCGAATTACTTTGGTAAAAACCTGGGATCTTTATTCGATGTCTGCATGCGTCGACGTGAGTATCGTCGTTCGGGGGAATTTGATTTTGATTGTTCAATGGATCAACGTTCTGGACAACAGCTCGCGCGGCCTCAAGTTGTTCCGTCAAGACACGAACCTTCTCCTCAAGTTCCTCCATGGTTACCGAAAAAGAAAGAAAGGTCAAAACCAGTAGTGAGCTCAAAAATAGAAAAAAAAATTCTTTTTTTTTTTTTTTAATAAAATTATTAAGGCTCTAAAATTTTAAACTTAATTATACTGGCTCACATCTCATCATCAACAAGATAATAACGTTAACAATAATATTCGAAATAAGTGAGAATTCAAAATTGATTATAAATATACTTCAATGTAACACCAACGAATGTTATGTTAAAAAAAATAAAATCAAAAACAAATAAATAACATGTTTTAAGACTATTCAATAAAGACAAAATATACAATAAAACATAAAAAAAATTATAGTCCTGTCACAATTTGTAGCTTCAATCAAAATAAGATAAACTTTTAAATAGAAAACAAAAAAAATTTTGTATTGACTCAAGAGCGCTGAAAATAAAGTTATAATTCTTTAAATCACACTCAATACCCACACAAATATGCGCAGAAGGTTTTACAAAACGTTGAAATAATTATAGATAACGCTTAATTTCAAATACCATGAAAATGACCAAACAAATTTCTTTGAATAAACAAGTTACAATATAGCAATGGACTTAAATTAAAAATTCGAGTAATAAAATACCTAAAATGAATTTGACATTGCGAAGAAACATTTAAAAAAAAATGATAAGTAAAATCAATGTTTAAATCAATTGTTAATACAATTAAAAAAAAATAAAATTTGATTTACTTTTAAGGTTATGAAAACAAAAAAATTTTTTTCTTTGAAGAAGAAATAATTTTAATTTATAAATACAACTTCTTTTTTCAAAATGATTATATAAAAAAACTTCTTGATGATAAATTTAAATAATGATAAAACAAGCTACAAATTTATAAGAGTATACACTTTTCTAAACAGCTGATGACAACATCATAAACGGATACTTAACTTGTCTGAAGTCAAAGTACTTCGATTAAATGATGTGATTGGTGGTGAAAATCTGGCATCAGTGGAAAGTGTTGACAGGAGGGAGACTCTCCATACTTTGAAAACAGGAAGAGAGTGTCCTAGTAGTCATGCGTGCTGGTTTAATAAAAATGGCTTCCGTACCCAATTTTGGCGGCAATCTCCCGGCGTCCAATGTCGAAATGGAAAAATAATCCTTGGCCAACGTGGAAAAACATATGCCGGAGAAATCCACAAAATCCAAAAATGAAAAATATGCGATGAATTCCAAAAATCTCATTTGAAGAAGATATTGACAAACTCGTTCACCGAGAAAATCCTTGGCGGTAATAAGACATGAACGTCGCCTCCGCACGTGGAAAAAATGTCGCTTCTCTCAATACAGGAATCCCATGCTTTGAAGGTAATTTTCGGAATTGTGATGTTCCAAGCCAAAAAATGTTGGTTAGAGCTCATTTAAAAAATCACAGACATTTTGTGATAATATAATGTGGTGCATTGATAAAAATGATTGTTGAGTCACTAACTGATTCGAAGAACTTGTTCTCGTTAGTCAGGGGTCACCAATGTGGGGATTTTGGTTTAAATATTTCAATAATATAGTTCCCCAAACTATATCAATTACTATATGCACCAATGATATAAATAACTCAACATTACATAAATCAACAAATTATTTATTTAGAACAACTGATCAAACATTATATACATCTCTATATAAGGGAAGTGTTCCGGTTGTGGCCACCCTTTTGTTTTTGCCTCATAACATTTGTCCATGTGCATATTATACAAATATATGTGTACGAATTTAAAGCTAGAGGTCTAAGGTGACTGTCAGTGAAGGAATTAAATTGATTCCTTTAAATAAAAAAGTTTTATTAGAAATTTAGTGAAATGGGAATTTTTTGACAAAAAAAATTTTGTACCCGGTTGTGGGCACCCTTGAAAAATCCGCTAAAAATGGAAAAATATTAAAGGAAACCAACACAAATAAAGAAGAAATGAAAGTTTCTTTATTTTAAGAGAATTTGCCGGGATAAAGAACAAAAATGATGACACGTTTTCACACTATGCTCATCGCTAACAAAAGCATAATGCTTGCATGTGAAGTAGCTAGTACGCATACCATAACGCACTTCTAATGCACTGAACGACTATATTCATCGCATTTAATGGAGTTTGCGGCTGTCACTTTCCTTGGCAGAAAGTTTAGATAGATGAGACAGTAGTCCTCATCATTGTCAGATGGTAGATCCTCCTTAACATAAAGGTGCCCACAACCGGGAATGACAGTCATTTTTTAAAAAGACCAACACATTTTGTGATGCAGGATTTTGGTTAAACACGAAGGTAAATCACAAAATATAATAACAACACTGCAAAAAAAAAATTAAACCCTTTTTTTCTGAACGAATCTACACCCATATGTTGCTCTTCGAAAACGATACAAAATTACTTTTTTATTTATTTAATGCAAATTTTCTTTATTATGCTCACGTCTATTACACAAATGCATATATTTGTTTCGTTATCAATACGAAAAGTCCGTATTGTCAACGAACACGACTTGCAATACTTAGATCAGTAAAGTCTGCTTGCCGTCGAAGTTTACGTAGGGGTGCCCACAACCGGCGCACTTCCCCTATATTCAGATGTCTATTGCGTACTAGTCAACGCAGAACTAACTAACTACTCCGAAAATCCGTACGCACGTCTAGCTACATAGCAACAGTTGCTAAGGCTCGCGTCAGCCCATGCTTTACAAAATCTGAGGGGAAAGGAAAGTATTCCCCACACGAGAACGGTTACAGCGTCCCTCTTTCGGCAGAGATAAGAATTGTCACGTAAACTGCGGGTATAATAAGGCCGTCGGTAAAGCGATTTAGCAGTTTACGTGACAATTCTTATCTCTGCCGAAAGAGGGACGCTGTAACCGTTCTCGCAACTGACACGGCGACTCCAGTGTATATAAGTATCGAGAGATTCGTCGCGAGACCAGAGTATATCTGCGAATCTGTTTAATGACGCGGATATCTCTCGTCTATAATTGATTTTTCAATGATAGAATTTTTTTGCAGAATGCTATTTCCTAATAGCTGCTGCATTTTTAAATAATTATAATTTATAAATAATAAATTATTTATTATTTACATGAATTATTAAAAATAAATAATTAAACAAATGAATATATTAAACAAAAATTATAAACATTAATTTTTTATTATTATTATTATTTAATTAAAAAAATTTATTTAAAAAAATTTTTTCTCTTGGTTGACAATATTCGGCCAATATTGGACCAATATTAACAACCGATGCTCGACGAACCCGTTACATCCCAAGCATCAGCCCATATTGGTCCAATATTAGGAGTCAGTCGGCGCCCAGCACGGCAACCAATATTGGACCGATTAAAGTCTATTGGCAATTTCTCACTGGATAAAAACAGCCGGATGAAACTAGCAATCGTACTCAGCACCAATCTTTAGGCGTCAATCACTAATTAATAAAATTAAGAAATAAAAACTTACTAAATTTGCTATTTAGTGGATATTGATTCTCAAATAACAATACTCGATGGTTTTTTAAATCATTAAGTATTACTAAATTTGAAGGAGAGGCATATTGGTAGATGACGCCTAAACATTGATGCTGAGTACGACTGCTAGCTTCAGCCGACTAATCAAAACACATAGAAACAAATCAAAATCTATTTTTTTCAGTGCACATTTAAAATTAAAATATACATAAAACAACAACAACATAGCACATTATTATTCACATAAAACAGAAACCACAACGAATACTAAAATTCACAAAGAAAATGTACCATACACTGACTGATCTAACGACGCCAAACGACGCGACGCCATTAGGCGCCATGTTACTTAACAGCTGGGCATTCATCGACGCATGCGCATATAACATCCTAGACCAAATCTAGACGGTCTTAATAACACCGTACTAGACGGACATTATTTGACTTAGATTTTTTCTAATAAGCCCATCTGTTAAGTCACTGATTCGGGACTTGATGGACCGTCTAGAATTAGACGGACTTGATGATTGCTAATCGGGAAATCATTGGACTCTAGACAACCACAATATTTTTCCACACGGGTATTTATAAAATTAATTGATAATCATATTTGTTTAAACAATTTATTGTTTGACATAAATCAGAAAATTATACAAATATTATAAAATAAAGTTAATTTATTAATTCAGCAATTGTTTAAACAAATAATTGTTATTTACTAACTTTTCACACAATCAACCTAGAAACTAGCAGTTTTTTCTAATTTTGCAATAAGTAAATACTCAGATTAGTTAATTGCAAAATTTTAAAAGACTACAAGAGCCTAGACGGCCGGGTACGAATCTTTTGAATCTTGCTACCAACAAAAACGAGATTTTAAAAAATTATTTTGATTTTTTGAGACAGTCGGACCTGCAAAAAGCACGGCACTCTAATAGTTTACAGATTTTTCCGTGTTTAACAGTGGCTCCGGCCGATCAGTCATATTTCTCTATTAAGTTGCCAAGGTACGTTCCAAGGCTGATAGCACAGCTCAGACTGTTAGGCTCTTTCCGTGGCTGCATTCGCTCTGGGAAATATTTTTTTAATTATAATCCACTTAAGCCGTGTGAAGTATGCAATATGGGGGAATGTGAGTCTCTATTTCATTTGTTAATTGCATGTCCGATGTATACAGGGATTCGGTCTTCCGTTGTTCACCTTCCAGCAGAAGTTGTTTGTGACCCTCAATACTGGATTTATATGTTGAATTCTAACTCACCCGAGGATTTGTGTAAATTGGCAAATTTTGTCGTTGCTGTCCTGCGTCTGAGGACATTTATTTTAGAAACTTAGGAAATTTGTAATTGGTCCTCAGTTGTGTGTTTCTTTTGATTTTTGTTTTGTGTGACTTATGATTTGCTTTGATTTTTTATTTTATATTGGCTTCGACTGAGATAAATTTGTAATTTATGTGTAATATTTGTACTGGTAACATCCAAAAAACAAATAAATTTGAATTGAATTTCATACTTTTTAAATTAGTTTATTGCAAAATTAGGAAAAACTGCAAGTTTCTAGATACTTTGTATCAAGAGTTAATAAATAACAACATTTATGTGTTTAAACAAATAACTGAATTGTTAAAATTATAAATTATTTTCATATTTTACTACTCAAGTGTAATAATCGCGAAATTAGAAAAAAAACTGCAAATTTCTAAGTAATTTGTCACAAAAGTGATTAAAACAATAACATTTATTCATTTATTTAAACAGATACACACTGCAATATAATTATCATTAGTAAAATATATTTTTAATTTCGTTCGCTGATTTTAAGTTTCGTTTAAGTTGGTGCTAAACACTAGAAGATATTGCAATTTGAATGTGGACTGACCCACACTATTTTGCATAATTTTTCCACCCCTCCCTCCCACGTCACAAATTTTAAATGCCTTAGCGCTATTTTTTCTACAGAACGTCACAAAAAATGAATTCCACCCCCCCCCCTCTGTTATATCCTGTATATTTTTCACTTTTCTTTTTCAAATTATATTTTTCAAATAACTTAAAATGGGCCCTATAAGAGTTACACTAAACAGAAAAGACAAACATTTCAAAATTATCTATTCCCAAGAAAATTCGTTCAAACAACATTTTTATCGCTCATAGATTGTACCGTGAAAAAGGCAGTTCAAATTTCATCCTTCTTAACAGTTAACTTTAACAGTGATTTTTGTTTGTTTGACCGTATTAAATATTCATTGGTAAGATAATGAAAAGGCCTATTTTACGGTTTGTTTAGATAACATTTATTTTGAAATCCCAACTAGTTTCGAACCATACATGGTTCCTCATCAGGGGATGAATAATTTTCACAAATACATTATCCAAAATTAAGACAAAGCACAATAGATTTCAAAAAGGATTAAATTATAAAATGATCTGAAAAAGAAAAATTAAAAATTGTTTAAAATCTAATTGTAATGTATTTTAAGGTTATATTTTAATTTATGAAAAAGAGAAAGTAAAAAAGTTTCTTACCCTTTAGAAAAAATATAAGCATATAATAAAAAATTTTTCAAAAAATTTTTTTTATAATCCATATTGATTTTTTTTTTAATAAATTTTTTTAACCTTTAAAGTGCTATGCCGGTCTGACAGACCGCTATTAAAATTTTCTTTGCTTGTAACTTTTTTTCAAAGTATAATAAGAACTTGAACTTTTTAGTAGCTTCATATTTTATGAAAATCTGTTAGGAGACAACTTTTTCAAAAATTTTTATTCGTTAAATTTTGTAATATAAATAAATATTTGAAGTATAGCGGTCTGTGAGACCGGGGTTAGCTTTAAGTGAAAGTATATTCCAGTATATTCCCATGAGTGACGTCTGCGCAACTTGACGCGCAGCTAGTTCTACTGACAGTTCTCATAGACTGCATTTATAAAATAAATAAAATAAATAAATGCATAATACAGAAATGACTTTTTTTGTTAGAAAGTAAAAAATATTTATAATAGTTGTCTTTTAAAAATTATAAATGACTAAAAAACTGTCAAAAGGGAATAGCGGTCTGACAGACCGGGGTTAGCACTGAGCGTGATTTTTCAACACTTAGCACTTTAAAGGTTAATAAATTTAATAAATTTTAAAAATTTTGTAGAAGCACATTTTTTTAGAAATGTGTTTCTATGATTAAAAAGTTTTGACAGAGAGGTTGGGTTATGTAGTAGGGTCCAGGTATTGCTGGTAAAGAAGAAATCTATGTTATTGGACTTTTTAAATTATGTTTTATAAGAAATAATTAAATTGTAATATACTTTATCTAAATTATCAATATGTGTTCTATAATTAATACTATTAGTATTATTTTTTATATAGAACATTTCTAAATTTTTTCTTTTCCAATTATTTGTTTCAATATGTAAAATATTTATATTGTCAAAATCAAAAGAATGTTTATTATCAAAGGTATGATTAGTTAAAGCATTAATATTTTGGTTGTGAGTAACGTAAAGTTTATGCTCTTTTATTCTAGTTTTAAGATGTCTTAGAGTTTCTCCGATATAACAACTATTACAATTTTTGCATTGAATTTTATACACACATCCAACCTTCTGAAATTTCTCTGTTGGATCTTTAAAATTTGGAAAGATACAATTTTTTAAATTATTAGAGTTAGTGAAAACTAAATTGAAATTATGTTTTTTGAAAATATTAAAGAGAATTTCATCAAAATTTTGAATATATGGAATGCTTATAATTTTTTCAATTGGAAGATTGTTGTTGTTTATTTTTCTCCTATGTGAGTTATTAGTAAGAGCACTATACCTCTGTGAAATCTTTCTATTTAACAAATCAATTGGGTATCCGTTAAGTAGTAAAGTTCTTTTAACAATATCAAGATTTTCGAGATGGAATTGTTGATTTGACAATTTTATAGCCCTATCAACTAGAGTATATATAATGCCAATTTTATAACTTAGAGGATGATGTGAATAGAAATTCATATATTTGCCAGTCCAGATAAATTTACGAAACCAATTTGTTATAACAAAGTTATTACTGTCAATTGAGAGGGAAAGATCTAGAAAATTAATTTTATTATTATTAGATAATTCTAAAGTAAATTTTAGGTGTTTATCGATGGAGTTAAATCTACATAATATATAAGACCACCTTATTTGAAGGTGCACAAATTAATATATCATCAATATATCAAAAGTAAAAAATAATTTTATATTTAATTTTGCTGGATTAATTTTGCTGGATTTTCAAAATTATTTCACGTTCTGGAAGAATCGACAAATTTTTATAACTATAAATAAAAAGTGAGTACAAATTCAAAATATTCTTATTAAATTCATCTTTTCTAATCCCCGAAATATAACAATTATACTTTAGAGGAATTGTTATATTTCAAAATCTATTTCCCAATTCTAAAGAATATTATTTATTTGAACAATCCAATATGTTTATAACCTATGAAGCCTAAGGTGATTAATGTTTCATATTGCTGTTACTAATCAACCTTTTATTCCTTTTAAAATCAAAAATCCTTATAAAAGAAAATTTTAACATTGTTCAAGCTCGAAGTGTCCCGAACTATTAAGCGAGAGCTTAGGTTCAAATCACACACATAATTCCATTTATTAAATATTCATTTATTTAATAAATTGAATTTAAAATAATTATGTTTAGACCATAGGACGTAACACCTCTAAGGCGTGACGTAGTTTATAGACGACCCTCTACCTGGGCTTCCTAGTTTCATTAGCAAAAATTTCTAAGTCCAAATTTAAAAAATTTTTTGCAACAAAAAATTAATGTTTAAAATGATTTAGAACAATGAAAAACGTGTTTTTAACATAAATTTTTTGACATTTTTTTAAAAAGTGGATCACCCACTTAATTAGCAAAAATTTTCAAGTCCAAAAGACGAATATTTTTTTAGACCAACAAATTAATGTTAAAAATGATTGAGAACAATGAAAAACCTGTTTTTAACGAAAATGTATAGATATTTTTTTCTTGATATAATATAAAAATATTAATTTTTTAATTTTTATATTTGAATATTATTTTATTATTATTATTGT